GACCGCAGGTGCCTCTGGACGCCGGAGCAAAACGACGGATGGACGGAATTGTTTGCTTTTGATAGAGAAAAGGAAAATAAAAGATCTGGTTAGACAGATACTGGATACTGAAGAAATTCACGAACATAGTAAATACACAGTATTTCTTAAAATTGTTAGGTGTTGTTAAGAGGGTGTATTTGGAATACTTGTACACTTATAAGGTGTTTTTATTTCTTTAGACCATAAACTAATACATTTATTGGTAAACTAACTTCTCCCTGAAAAATTATCCAATTTTTTTAAGAGACTTTCTCTCCATATATCCTTTTCCTAATGATTCAATCTATATATATTTAAATATTAACTAGAGATTGATATGTACACCCGTGCGGATGTTAATTTTTTATCTTCTTAAAATTTGGTGTTTTGTTTTTCATAATTAATGTGTATATTATTATGTTTTTGGACGACTTATATATTTTTATTTTTTATCATATAATTAATTGTATAAGTATTTGAAAATTTTAAGTTCATATACATCAAAACCGAACCCGAATCAAACCGGATAATATGGTTATTTTTGATTATTTAAGATTATTTTAGTTTAGATTTAAATACCAAACCTAATTGGTTAATTTGGTTACTTTTGATACAAATATCTGAACCTATTTCAGATACATTAGTTTTAGGATATTTTAAGGTTTATACATCAAACTAAATTTATCTGAACTTAGGAGGAACTGACTCGAAATCCACCCAAAAATTTATAATACCTCAAGAGAGTCTAATTCAAAACCAAAAAAAAAACTATGCCAGGAAGAAATAACTCATACCAGAACTGTTATTTTATGTATAACAGATTTTATAAACAAAAAAAAAATATTTGCTAATATTTTAAAATCTTGTTACGAATAAAGTTATTTCATTCAAATGTCAAATTATTATGATTAATTAATAAATAAATGATGTCAAAATATTATAGTAAAGATAATTAATGAAGTCATTAAAAAGAAAAAGAACAAGAAAAAGAATATAATATATATAGTAAAAAACTTCAAAATATGTAAATTTTATTTTGTACTTCTGTAATAAATGATGTCGAATTATTTAGAAAACATAATAAATGAAGTGTTTAGGATTAATTAAAAATGAAAGGAAAATTTGTAACAAATCAATAAAATAGCCAATTCATGATTTGTAATTCAATTTTAATAGATTAAATACACAATAAAAATATATGTTAATAAAAGAAATTTTGTGTATGATAGCACTAAAAAGATTTTAAAATAAATATGATACAAAAGGGTTCAAATGACCAAAATTTCTTGTTAAAGAGGTAAAAACATTTATATCTCTAGAGTTTAGGTCTGAGAGGTGAGGTTTTGAGGATGGTTTTAGATTCTTTTAAAAATTAATATTAAAATTGAAAATAAAAATTAGTTTTAGAAAATAATTTTTGTATTTCAAAACAAAATTCTGAAAACAAATTTAAAAAGATTAAATTAAAAAAATTTTAATAGAAAAAAAATTTCTTCGAAATATTTGTTTTATATAATTAGTTTCTATTATTTATTTATAAAGTAAGATATAAAGGTCTTTTATCTCTTTAAAGAAACATGTTTTTGTCATTTTATTCCTTATGTGCTCTTTTGATAAAAAAAAAATCAGTATAAAATCTTTTGAAATATTTACCCTCCATAAAATATAGATAAGAAACTTTTTTTTTGGTAAAAAGATAAGAGAAGATAACAAATTCTTTGGGAAGTTTTTTATTGGTAATATGCTCTTAGGGGGTCATGAGGTCTGTATAATTTTTATTTTATGAATTCAAATCAAAATTAAATGACTATTGAATCATTGATATTAATAGGGAAACAGATAGACCCACTTAACCAGTGGCGATAACCCAGTGGCGCTTGAGGAAATAAATTCAATAAAGGCGAATCCGGGTTCAAATCCCACTAGTCACACATATATGGATTATTGATTTCGACTCATTTGAATGTCTAGGAGAGAGTTTATCCGTTGGCTATTAACTACATCTTTAATAATCACGGGTTTAACCCATTTTTAGTCAAAAAAAAAAAAAAAAAACAAATAAGCCCACCAGAAACAGCGAATGATGTATACAATTAAAAGCGAACCTAATTTTTATTTTCTGTTAAACTTTCCATGCAAGAACGAAAGAAAAACCTGCAGAGGAAAAAGAAGAAAATAAAATCTTTAACGAGTGTAAAACCATGGGAAGAGCACAAACCATTGTCGTCCAGTCACTTAAGCGTTTCTACTTTACAAAACCACTAAAAGAAGGTCCCTCCTCTTCACTAAACGATTTTATAAAATTCTGCTTTTGACATGACAATCTCACTATCAAACCATAGCTTCTCCTATTCTTATCACACACAACAGACAAATTGTAAGTGTCTAAAAAAGTGAAAACAAACAACAGGAAGGCCCTCTTAATCATTAGGGCTCCGTAGTCCGTACAAATTCATGTTCTATGATTCAACCCACCAAATTCATGTTCTATGAACCTGTGATCAGCTGGGGAAAAACCTATTAAACCCGAGGGAGAACCGAGACTTAACTGTAGTTGTATGTCCAGGAGTCCAGTTTTCAGGTGGGTGGGTAAGGCTTACAGGAACATCTAACAACAAAGTGGGTTACCAAAACGACAAAAAAACAGATAAAAAGATGGTGGGGAACAAGGGAGTTAATGTACTTAATTATGGTTCTTTTTCTTTTTGGAAAATTTTGATTATGTTTCTATCTTTCTTATTTTAAAGAGACAAAATCACTAGGATATTGATAGACCCACAACAATGCTGGACCCCTATGGATGGACTACGTTTCGACATCTGGTTTGTCATTTCCTCACAAACTAGGACACACAAAACAGTTCCCGTTCCATTCTCCTTGTTTATCCACTTTGAAATGGTTACCTTCTTTTTTTTTTTTCCTGTGGCATTATTGAGTGGAGACAGACTGAGAGAGTACTTAACCGATGACTCTAGACATCAGGGAGCAGATATGATCTCGAACAGATCTTTGTTTCTTGATTTCCCTAGAGAAAGGCATGACTTTATCACTAATACCGCCAAAAGCATGTCTTTCACTGTTAGGGATAATAGAATGCGACCAGGCGCTTGTGCACACAACAGATATTGAAATAGACAGGATGAGAAAAAGTAAAGATCGTTAGTTACCAAAAAATTTATGTTAATATATACGTGGGAAAAAACCTAGTCATGATTTTATTTATACCTATGTCCATCATCCTATGAGCAAAAAAACAGACCGAACCTTCCATTCTTACTAGATTGAAAAAAAAAATCGAAGATAATTGACATTGATGTGTGTAGTACTAGTAGAAGTCTTACTTGTACAGCAAATAAGCTGGTCTTTAAGGGGCCATTAAGAGCTAGTCTCTATCATGGAAACTAGTCAGGTAAAGGAGCCTGCAAGAACATAGACCAAAAAGCAAGTGCAGCTTCTCTGCTTTCTTATCTACCTGTGACTGAATATTCACTTGGTCTCCTTTAAGCAAAAGACGCACCAATGAAGAGGAGTAGGCAAAGATATAATAATTGAATTGAGGCATCTAATAACAAGCAGCATAAGCGACGACTGTTCCCATCACAAAGGTACACGACCGTGCGTATGATAGTATCAAGTGAGGTGGTCAGGATGGTAGCACATGATTACATAGACCAAGAAAAGATATCCTTTAATTTATGTAGAAAGACGTTTCAATATATTTAAATGTTACATAAATAAGCATTTCATTGCTCAGGAAATTTTCAAATAAACATGGCAGGCAAAACTGAAATCAGAATCCAACCTGCCTTTCAAAAGAGACCATTTAACATAGAATAGTTTTTCTTCACGTAATGACAGTGGGATGTAATGACTGACCTGTAGCTAGAGATGTCAATTGGACGGACTGGGTGGATTTGGGTGTGTCAAGATGAACTTATTATTTTCTGGACGTTTTTGGTCGAAGCACGAATAAGACCATGTCCAAATAAGACCATAACCAAATAGGACCATGATCAGTTAGACAACCCATGAGGTTCAGACGCCCATTTAATGTAGCATAGAATAGTTTCTCTGGCTGTTGGAGGTGAACTTTGCTCTTTACTCAATGCACGTTAAACAATAATTTCAGCCTGTCTACAGGTTTTAAGACTGACAATGAAAACGGCCCAAAGATATGAAAGGGAGCCGGTTTCAGGAAAATGGAAGACAGCGTAGAGAAAAGGAAAACCAAGCAGATTCTCTTATCAAAATACAAGTGGGAAGTCGTTTAAGGCATTTGTTTACAGAAGAACAAAAAGAGAAGGGAGATAAGTTAGAGTTAATAGCATCATTAACTTTATAACCTATAATCTTTCATGATCTTATTGTTCTCTATGCCAGTTTCAATATACTCTCTTAATTAATTGTCGGTTTTTCTTGTATAAAGCTTCTTTTAAATAATCCATAATCAAATTCATGACATCCTACAAATTACATTGGTTTCAGAATAAACAAAGTGGCCGGTGATCAGTCTTCAACCCAGCCTCTTCGCTATAAAGTTCTTCTTTTTTTTTGAAGACCGCTATAATGTTTGTCTCAAAATATTAATTATCGAGCTGATTTTATTGTCTTCCCCAAATTTAGTTTTTGAAAAAAAAAATTAACACCAAAGTTGTCGATCGATCGCATTACACACTATTGATATGTCTAAGCGGGAACATCCCGAAATTAGAATCGAAGACCAGTTCTGCTTCATCTGAGCCTTTATTGTCTTTAATGGTTCAAGAAACAGTATCGTAAGCCCCAAGTAACATGTAAGTTCAAGAAACAAACTTTCATTGTAAGCAAACGCTGCAACTCATAGGGAACTAGATAATATGGTTTAAAATCGGTCGTTACATTTGCCGAGTTTACATTATTATAATATCGAATATAAATGAAAACAAATTTGAAAGATAAGAAAACTCTCATTAGCAAATTTTCTTCTGTAGGGCTTTGCTCTAATTAACGAAGCGAGAGTTAACTCTCACTTGTCCTGTCTCCTTGACTCCAAAGTTTCCAAGTTTCACCATGGAAGTCGCAAACTCCCTGAAGAAGGCATTTTGGTCTCGAGCAAACGTCTCAACAATCCACTTGGTACGGTAATCACCTAGAAGCGCCTGATCAGACCCAAACACTCCTTTCCTTGACAAGATCTGCTTGTAGTAATCATTATCAAAGACCGTGGTCGTAGAGTCCAACACTGTCCCTGCGTTCTTGCCTCGGTTGTTAGATCTTGGGCATTTCTTTTTCAAGCTTTGCGCAAAAGCAAAGTTCATGGAAGGATCAACGTCATGGAATTTGCTGAAGTTTTGAAGACGGGCCTCGAAAGATGAACAATGAGAGAATCCTATCGTGTGGCCGCCTGAGAGTGTAACCATGTCTTTCACTGACAAGCCTCTTGCTGCAAAGCTTTGGATCAGTTGTGAAACATTGAACGTGGGCGCAGGGAGATTGATAGTCTCGTTGGCTCGTGAAATAGTCCCATCTTTTCGCCCTTTTAGTACGTTCCAGTATGGACCACCGGACTAAGACATGAGAAATATTGCGAGAGTTAGGTTTTGAACTGAACCGAACCGAACCGTATATATCTAGACCATAAAAGAGACCACTCTATTAAAAAGGCTTACCAGGGTGACAACATCTCTGGCTGCGATGGCGATTACATCGGCACAAGAGACAGTACGAGGACAAACCTTTTCAAGCTTTCTCTTAGCATCTTCGATGACGTAAAACGACCGAACCGAGATGTTTGGTGGACCATCCTTCTCAGCTTGGGTTGACTTTGTTGAATCTAGTAGAATCGACGCATCACATCCCTACAACAACCCATACGATCTTCGTTAAATTTATATCTAGTTGGATCAAATATCAACGACAAAGGAAAGAAGATGTATACCCTGATGAAGCAGTCGTGGAAGAACATTCTGAGTAGACGAGCAGGCACTTTAGGATCATACAAAGTAGCGTTCTTAACAGTTTCAAGTATGACTTTTTCTGCGACGGGGCACGATTCATCATAGTAATGAGCATCGAGAGCAGCTTCTGATGGCTTAACTATTGCAAAAACTGTAAAGATCATCGAGAAAACGAGTCTCTTCGAGAATGCCATTGTAAGTTTTGTGGGTTTAAGCCTCAAAACTTATATTTGTTGTTAAAAGTTGTTTGAGGAGTTGATGAAAAGAAGATGCAGGACTATTTGGATTATATAAGAAGGGCATAGGAGGCTGACATTCTAGAAAATGTGTATATATATGCTTTCAAGTTACTCTAATTATTTTGGAACAAACATGCATATATTTCGGTGTACAAAATTGTACTTTGAGTCAAAGGCATGTACTTTGGTTATCATATATTAAATTATATTCTAATTTTCGTATTCAAATGAGATATTTTAGTAATTTGTTGAACTAAAGCATTTAAGGTGTTTTTCACCAAAGTTTACCTAACTAACATTTATGTTAAAATTGAGTTATTGCAAAATGCGTATCTAACCCATACAAACAAGTTAATTTTCCATAAAATACATCTAAGTATTTTTATTTTAATATGAAACTGAACTAATTTTATCTGAAACACAATTAATTACTAGAACAAGTATACATTTGAAATTAAGGATTGTCAAGCTTATACTTCTTAATAATTATAACTAGTAACAACAGTTAATGTTAAATGTAAAAATTAATGTTATATTACAAATACTAATTTATTTGAATTATATATAAAGTTTATAAGCAGTTACACATATATGGAAAATTAAAATATCTTTTAAAATAAATAAATAAATAAATAAATAAAATGATAATGTCATAATACTGCATTCACTATCCTTAACGTATATAAACCAATTTTTTAATTGCGTGATATTTCGTAAAAACAAAGTGAGCAATTGTGATATATTTTATATTTTATAAAATTAAATAATTAATATTTATGAATAATATATAAATAACATATTTGTTGACAAAACTTCAAAAAAAATGACAAGTAACCCACTATTCCTTAAGAAAATATTAAAATAAAAAGTTTTTTTTTTGTAAACAGATAATATAAAGTATAAGCAAATAAAATTTTAGATGCAAAATAAATAGTTTATTTTAGTCGAGAAACTTGTAATTGTTCATTTCTTTTTGCAACTTGAACGTAACATGCCACTGTAAAAAAAAAAAAAAGACATGCCACTGTAAACTCGATACTTAATCCGGATGGTGTGAAACACAGGATGAGGTGGTTATTCTAATAGGCAGAATGGTGTGTGTATGGATAGAGTAAGATATAAAAAATGAATAAAGAAGTGAATTAAAAGAGAAGATGGTCAAAAAAGGTAGCTACAGTTGAGTTATGCCTATCAGTGTTTGGTTCAATGCCTTGGCTAAGCGGTACGGTTGGTGAAGAATTTGTTGTACTATTCTTTTTGTTTTCTTTTTTGCTACCTTTGTTTTGCTTCATAATTACCTCAAGCAGTGCACCTAAATAAAAATATCACAATGAAAAGCAAAATTTGAAATGCGAGAATCCTTTATTTGTTTGAATGAAAACTATACATATATATATATATACGTTTATATTTGAAAAAATTGTCATTTAAATCACCAACTTTCAAATTTGGTTGAAATAAAGCACACATTTTCTTATAAGCCAAATAAACACTCAACTTTTGTTGACAAGCCTTTTAGTCACAAATTTTCGTCGACCATACCAATTTAGTCATATCGTCAGTCAACAGTTATAATTGACTAACGGTATGGATAAAATGGCTTTTAAAGTTGGTGTTTTTTTTGCACAAATATAAATCAAATTTTTTTCAAAATATTGGCTTTTAAATATTGAAAATTTTAATAACTATAACACTAATAAATAAAATTGTAAATAAAAAATAAATTCCATTCAAAAATATAAACATAACTCAATGTAAAATTATTAATTAACATATTCTTAATTGAGTAATTTAGTTAAAAATGATTATGATTTTTTTAATTATTTACGATTAATTTTTAAAAACTATTTTTATAATCCTACACGGATTATGTTTTATAATTTACTGTAAAAAAATTTATTAGTAAAATATTACTTCAATTCTTGATTTTTTAAACAAAATGTTATCGAATAAAAAAAAAGACTTATCTATTTTAGTGAAACTTATTTTTTTAAATGCATAAAACCTCTTGTAAAAATTTTATAGAAAATATATAGATTTTTTTGAAGATCTTTATTATAAACTTAAAGAATCATGAATAATTCGTTAATCGATAATTTTTTTCATTTAAGAAACAATAGTTGGATTAATATTTCATCAACAAAATTTTGAAAATAAAATTATAAAACATAATTCAAATAGGATTATATAAATATTTACAAAAATTAATCATAAATAATTAAAATATTCTTATCATTTTATAGCCAAGATACTCAATTAATATATGTTAACTAATTATTTTACATTGCGTTTTATTTATATATTTTTATTGGATATTTTATTTATAATTTTATTTATTTGTGCTTCAGTTATAAAAAGATTTTCAATATTTAAAATATATCCAATATTGTAAAAAACATTGATTTATATTTGTACCAAAAAAACATCAATTTTGAAAGCCATTTTAGGCCTACCGTTAGTCAACTATAACTGTTGACTAACGATATGCCTAAATTGGTATGGTAGAAGAAAGTTTGTGATTAAAATGGCTTGTCAATAAAAATTGAGTGTTTTTTTGGCTTATGAGAAAGTTGGTGCTTTATTTCAACCAAATTTGAAAGTTGGTGAATTAAGTGACAACTAGATTTTTGACCCGCCCTTTAAAAGGCGGGTTTCATTTTTATATATATTTTCTTAAAACTTGTATAAAGTTGTATGATATTAAAAACATATCTTTTTTTTTTTTTACTTTTTGTTGTAATCATGTGAATTTTTGTAGTGCTATTTGTTTTTGCTAACTACGTAAAATTTTATGTGCGAAAAATGTTTATTTCTTTTGCCATATTTCATATTTGAATTTTAAATAACCAACCTTTTTTATTTTCCACCCAAGAATGACAAAACATATAAAGTCAACATGTATATTCACAATCATANGTTGTAATCATGTGAATTTTTGTAGTGCTATTTGTTTTTGCTAACTACGTAAAATTTTATGTGCGAAAAATGTTTATTTCTTTTGCCATATTTCATATTTGAATTTTAAATAACCAACCTTTTTTATTTTCCACCCAAGAATGACAAAACATATAAAGTCAACATGTATATTCACAATCATATTATATATATATATATAATACTCAAACTTATTAATGTTTGTAATTGAGTCATATGGACAATAGGATAGGGTATCAATATCTTTTTTCAAATTAAAACAATTTTTTGTTCCATAAATATAAATGTGATAAAGTTTGGGTTTTTTTTTTAAAAAAAAACAGATATACTCAATTTGGATTTGTATAAGATATTAGTTAGAGTTTGTTAGTGAGCAGAAAATTAACTAATGGGCTGTGATTATTCAGCATACCCTCAACCATCATTCTCGTACACCCACAAAATCTTATCTCTTCCAATGTGATTTACCGTCAGGAACCAAAAAAAAACATAATTAAAGCAAAATGAATCTAACTCGAGCAAGAGTTTTTCTCTTCTTCATATGAACATAGACGACGTTTAACATCGGAATGAGTTCTGGAAATCAGACGGTCATTTGGTTGTTGTTGGCAATGAAGAAGTTAGATGTCATCTTTCCCAGAAAAAATCTCTCCTTTTATCTCCCCGATAGATAAAGAAAAGTTAATTTTAAAATATGGATGAGAAGTTTAGTAAAAAAAAAAATATATAGATGAGGAGAAAGGTTGTGCTAGTAAATGTGAGAGTTATGGACCCCGTAAATATAGGAGTTAAAAGGGGAGGTTACGATATACCACCTATTCTGTAAAATAATCAGTTTTTCTTAAGTAAAAAATCAATTATATATGTTGGACTCAACATTCATCAATAGGCCATACTGTAGAATTAATAGAATATACTAGATTTTGAGCCGCGCTTTCAAAGTGCGGATTTATGTTTTATGCAAACTTTGTATAATCACATTTCCTATACATGTAGAATGTGGAATAGACTTGTGTAGTTTATTAATTTCATCAAACATAATATCTCACAAAATGCAGGATAATCTTTATGAAAATTTTATATGACCGTATTTTTGTTTTATATAAAGTAGTCATGTGCGTAAAATCCATAACTCGACGTCTAAACTCAATCTAAAAAAAAATTGGATCTGTAACGTGTCAAAAATCTAAAATATATCAGAATGAGTTTTGTAAGATGGTACAAAATATATCCTAATCAAAGTGTTATTAGCCAGACCCGAACGAATAACCCAAAAACCGAAAAACCTAGAAAGAATCTGAATCGATCTGAATGTCCAAATTAATCATAAATATAAATATTTGAAACATAAATATTTAGTTTAAATATTCAGTTCTATATTTATTTTAAAATGATATTTAAAATTAATTATCAAAATTTTAAATAAGTAATTTAATATCCAATTCTGTAAAAATAAGTATCTTTTTGTTGTTTTATTTTTAGATTTTATATTTCCAAACCAATATAACCCGAATCCGAGTGATATATGGTTGCTTTATCGGTTTTAGGATGTGTACAAATTAGAACCAAACCCGACATGTTATTATTGAATCTAATCCATACTTACAAATTATGACACCTATGATGTGATATAAATTAGCTTTGATTCAAAATATTCGACCCGTATCACAATAGTTACGTAAACTCCCAAGCATAACTTAAATTATGTTTTATATTTTGCTAAATTAATATTATATTTGATAAATATTTTGTCTGTTTATTGGAGTAACTCGTAAAATTATAAGCATAAAAATATCAGTAATAACATGTTTCATCATATAATTAAATATTAATAGTAGCTATTATTAATATTTATTTTATATAAAAATAATAATATATATATATAAACGATTTTAAGACTTTATCTATGATAATTATATTATTATATATTGACAGAGGTTTTAAGAATTTGTTTATTATTATTTCGTGTATCAGTTACATATAATTAAATATTGATTTTTTATATCCTAATGTTTTAATTTAGATGTGTATATTAAAATATATAATTATTTCTTTTTTAAATATCTTATGGTA